ACTGCCAGGAAGCAAGGCTGGAGGAAGAGGCTCTGAGAGGTGGTATTCAGGGCCATCTTCCCTGGTGGGCTTTGAGCACCACTCCAGTCCCATGTTCTTGGGATTTTAAAGCCACGCTCTGAGCTCACCTTCTTCACGGCCCAATATAAATGCTGCCACTTTTCTCTGCTTGAAATTCAGTGAGCAGTTTATATATGTCAAATTCTATACCAAACACTTTCATGCATTGTCTCTTTCCATTTTTAGATTCTGACAAGTAATATCCTTATTTACAGCTGGAGAACCAAGTTTCAGAGATCTGAGTGGTTTGCCTAGGGTCACAGTGCTAGCATGTCGTGGAGCCAAGATTAGAACACAGGTCTGTTGTATCCCCAAGCTCCTTCTGTGACACATGGCTGTCCCCTCCAGGAAGAGTCCCTTCAAGCAAACAGTTGCTCACTCTCAGTGGGCTGCGGTGCCTGGTCTGTGAAGACAGTGGTCCTGTACTCCTTAATCCCTTCATTACAGATGTGTCTGGCTTCACTGCTGGGTGCTGCCTTCTCAGGGAAGAACTGTCTTGGCTTCTTGTCTGGTGCCCTTAGCATCTGTCACTTAGCCAGGTTCACTCAGTGTCCATCTCCTAAGCTGAGTTTCGGAAGGAGGCATCACTTTCCACATTGTTAGAAAAATTCCACAAAATACCATGAGTTCCTCACATAGAGGAAAAAATTGTAAAAGTTTAGAAGAACATTTCTTTTACTGAAATGGGAACGACAGCTGCATGGTCCCCCTGCCTCTGTGAGGCTGGGCCACAGCACAGCTGACGGAGCCCCCACCATGATGCAGATAGGACCGGGAGACACGCAGATTGGCAGAGCTTGGGCTGGTGCCCTCTCACCCATAGTACACCCTGCTGGGCACTCGGGAGAGGGCTGCTTCCTCCTGTCTGGAGACACAGCTTGTACTTAGGATAGAAAGAGAACATGTGAACGTTAAAGATGCCCTCTGTAAAGGGCTGCAAGAACTGGGAAGATTGAGAACTTGGGGAACACGGACGTGGCTTTCAGCTGGCGTGTGAGATCATCCCCGTCCAAGAGAGCCCCGACAGAGGTTGGGGGTGAGAGGCAGACAGGCTGTGGGCTTCTCTGTGAGGAAAAGGACTAACCGGAGCCCCTGGACACCCCAGAATCCAGAGTCGCTCAGTCCTGCCTGTGAAAGCCTATGCACATCCCCCATAAAATCTAAGTCATCTCTAGATTGCTCGTAATATCTACTTCAATACAAATGCTGTGTAATACTACAGTATAGATACATGGTGAATGTTTAAATCTTAGATGTTTACTACAAAAAAAGACATTGGCATTGGTCCACCTCAAAATACCCCCACTTCTAACACCCTAACCCTGTCACTCTTGCTGCTTTCTGAAGCAGTTCTGGAAGTGCTTTATATCCCTAGGGATGCCAAGGGGCAGCTCCACGAGAAGGAGCACACCAGCTTTGTAGTGGACTGCAGGGGAGAATCTGGAGGCAGACAAAGCCGCACTCCGTGTCCAGTGGGCAGTGCTGGGCCTCTGCTGTTCACATGGCCTGTGGAGGTGGGGTCTCTGTGCTCGGAGTCACACATCCTAACGGCCCATCGGGAAGAGCTCCTGAGAACTCAGCTCAGATAGGCTCCAAACTGCACCGTGTGAGTGAGGAGACCCGTTAACAGGGCTGTGGCATTCACCCACGCTGCCATGCTGCTCAGCAGGGGCATCCAGGTGGGTCAGAGCCTGTGGAGGCAGAGAGCAAAGCCCAGAGAGGAGGGAATCAAAAGAAAACTCAGAACTACCTGCTCAGACTGAATTTGCCTAACGAGATTTAAATAAGAAGAAACAAGACAGAGGAGTGTGATTTTGGAAAGGTACAGCGGTTGCTAACTGAACGTCTTGATTATCACCAGCAGCTTGAATGGCCACCTGTGGGTCCCTTGGGCCACTCTGTGGTGGGCATGAGAGCTCTGCCAGGCTGTGGTCAAGCACAGCAGCTTCCAGCATGAGTCTGAGGCCGTAGCTGCACCACACCACCCTGGGGTGTGGCCAGGAGGTCAGGCTTCACGTACAGCCTCCAGAAGCCATCTCTATGCAACAGGCAGTGCGGGCATGACTCTTAGGAGCCCTTCCAGAGCAAGCTCCCCTCAGTCACACTGATAGAGCTAGTCCTCCAGGAGCTCCTTCCCAACACAGGCAGCCGCGGAGTGCAGCCTCGCTGTGACTCCGCGTGGCCACTATGCCTTGGGCCAGCACCATTTCCTAACGGGTCCCCCTTAGGCTAGAAGGCCTTCTCCCTGGGGTTCTGCTGAGTCGCCTCAGTAAAGCCCGGATCACAGCAGAACGTGTCTGCCCTCCTGGAAAGGCTCTGGAATTCAGCTTCACTGTGGAATAGCCAACAATAGGCAGAAAACACTTTTTTCCTTCCTTTGAGTAAACCTTGGAATACCTGTGTTAATTAAGTATTGTCCTCTGGGAGTTCCACAGCTGAATTTGATAGCAGAACTCGGTTATTGACCCTTTTTTTTAAAGATACGTTGAGAGCTAACATAGAAAATGACAAGCAGAGAAAATGCTTTCTGTGCATAGCTGACCAAGGCTATTTTTTCATTTAAAGAAGGGTAGTAAACAGCAATATAAGTGTCTAGAGAGAAAGTGTCTCTTTAAGCGGTGCTTTATATTTCATTTTGCTGTTATGTAATGAAACATGTTTTGCAAGGGAGAGAGTGAAAGCAGGGAGAACAATTAAGTGTTTGCTCCATAATTCTGGGTCTTTATTGTTCACAGCTGTGTAAGTAGATTGAAAACTGATCTAATGTAACAATAACGTAATTGATGTAATTAACAACTAGACATTGTATTCAGAAGGGCAGGAAATAATGATAATTATGAAGAAATGTTATATAATCTGAATCAATCCATGTTGGCTTAAAATGCTAGAATTGTATTTAAAAGAAATGTATCAGAAGACAAACATGCATTTATATATGCAACTCCAATGTAGTGGTAATTTCAGGCAAATATTATTTATTATTTATTTATTGGTACTGGGGATCGAACTGTGGACCTTGCACTTGTGAGGCAGGCGCGGCACCACTGAGCTACCATTCGGGTTGGGATGCATACATTTTTAACAATATAAGAGAGAGAGATAACTATCTTTCTAACACAGTGAGCGAATGAGAAAAGTCACGTCCACAGAGCGGCTGAGGGCTGCTCAGGAGGCCCCTTCCCCAAGGGGCCCGGGGTTCCGGCTGACCTGGTCCTGCCTGCTGCAGCCTCTCCGCCACCTCTTGCAACTCACTTCCAGCTCCACATCTGGCCCCTGCCACTCCTTCTGCCCCAAGTGCTACCCCCTTCCTCCCACCCGTCTCCTCTCACTGTAAAGTCAGGTGCCCCTCGGTGCCTGGTAGCACCTGTGTCCAGTGTGCAAGTGCATGTGGACTTGTGTGATCATGCAGTCCGCTCCCCCATCGAGTTCCGGGAAGATTGCTGGCTCATCACACAGTAGGTGTTCAAATAGTCGCTGGATTGGATTTGGAAAGACAGTGTACAGAAGAAGTAAGAAAGGACCCAGGTTTAGACAGGTGTGGTGGCGCATGCCTATAAGCCCAGCACTCGGGAGGCTGAGGCACGAGAATTGCTTTGAGTTCGAGACCAGCCTGGGCTGTATAGTGAGTTCCAGGTCAGTCTGAACTACATAGTGAGATCCTGTCTCAAAAAACCCAAAAAAAAAAAAAAAACCTAGGTTTTAAGGGGTTATTGTTTTTAGTGGAGGCTAGAAAAATTAAGACTCATCAAATGTGAGAATCTTGGAAATAGATACATGCAGTCCCTAGTAAAAACTCATATTTAGCATTTACAAATGTCACAATTCAAAACCAAATTTTCTAAATAATGTCAACACCTCTGTGAGTCATGTTCTGCATAGCTTGTTCTGTTTTTCTTTATAACCCAAATCCTCCTGTATACTATACAGAATAGGCTGCCTGTTTTCTAACAGAGTCAAGAAAGAAACTGCATTGTTCCTTCAAGCATTCTTCTGGTCAGTAGCACCCACTGCACATTGCAGCCCATATCATCCATGTTGCATGATTCTGATTACAGCCAACTCCGTGTAACTCTAAAACTCGTTGGTCTTAATCTAACCACTAGTGAAACTAGTCGTAAAGCTTCTTCGGGGCTTTAACAACCGTTACCTTTGAACAGTGCAGAAATCTAGTATTTGTTAGTGCTGAAATCCTTTTCACAGAAAACTAGGATGAACTCAGCAATGGTGAAATAGAACATCCTAGAATGATCCCGAGTTCTTTGAGAAAATGGCCAATTCGTTCTAATAGGCAGCAAGAAAGAATATCCGGCCACTGCACCCTAGTGAGAGAGGCCCATAGGTGGTCACACACTGAACATAAGCTCGTACCGATCAAAGCCCTTAGCTCACCTGTGCTTTTACTTCCACAGTTTTAAATGTTGCTTTTTAGAAGTGTACTTGAGATCATTTTCCGGATCATAGCTGGGATTACCATTTCAGAAATATACTACTCACATTTCCCCGTCCTGATAAACATTAGTGGGGTTCATGCCCATGTCTGCGACCCCAGCATGACTGTTTCCACTGTGCAGCTAGAGAAGCAGGGGCATGAGGCTGTTGCCGTACACTTTCAAAGGTGCCCCTGAGCCAGTGGGAAGGAAGCCGGAGACACAGAAAGGCCGTGTCCTCACCGGAAGCACGTATGTGTCTCTGTTCTGGGGAAGCGGGGCTGCCAAGCCAGCGCTGGCTCCTCACCCCACAAGGAGGCCTCTGCAGATGCGTGCAGATGAGGGAATCGAGCCGAGCAGCAGCGTGCGAGGCTGCGCTGGCCTGCAGCGCCTGGAGGAGGAAGACAGAGTCGAGGCCTCGGGCTCCTCTCACAGCCCTCTAGCCAGTGGCAGAGTTCAGATGAAAAATATTTTAATTATTTACCTTTCTTTTTTCTCCTTTTTTCCTTACAGATCTATGCGGTTAGATCCGTCGTTCCCAACAAAAGCAATAATGAAATAGTCCTGGTGCTACAACAGTTTGATTTTAATGTGGATAAAGCTGTGCAGGCCTTTGTCGACGGTGGGTATACCTACTCCCTGAAACTGAAGATACTGGGACGAAGTCATCCCTAATTAGGATGTTTTTAGGTTTGGGGATCTTTAAATGAACTGAGTGTCAATTAGCTGTTAATACTTTAGTCCTCATAAAAATATACTAGACTTTAAGAACACATAGACATATTTAATAAGTAGAATTTGGATATTCTTTTTAAAATCAACAAAAGACTGAACGGTAAGTGGAGAGCTTACTGATTCTGTATGTGCTGCCAAAGCAAGCACAGAGCTTACTGATTGTAATGCTACAATTTCCCTTTCCTCCCAGTCCTCCTGGTTTGTTATTACCTTTACTCAATGGCATCCTAGCGAATGGAGGGCAGCGTGCATCGCTGTTGACCTGGAAGGTTTTCTTACCTTTCCCACCAACATAATTCTCCTTAGCTTCATGACTAGAAGTTTGAACTCGGAATATCTGACGATTTTTCCTGCTTCTAAAACCTTTTGTTTCTTTAAAAAAAATTTTTTTTGTTTTGTTTTTTAACCGTTCATTGCCAGGGATGTTATAGAATCTAAAGTCCCGTGAATATGTTTATCCTATAAGTGCACAACTTAAAGCCTTAGATTTTCTGTACATTATGGGGAAGTCTCCTCCCAAGTCAAACTGAACAATTTTCAGCCTTAAACAAAGTCTCCTTATCTGTCCTCTGCCCTGGTAGTCGTTTCTTCTGTAAACGTGGACTCACTACATGTATCACTGGAGTGAGGCAGGAAGCGCGTGTGTGTTAGCACACTTCCCAGCTGCAGCCGTGTACACTGTGCTGAGGACGGTAGGGTTTGCTTATTTCCCTAGGAGTAGAAGAGCCTTCTTGAGTTCCTGCAAGTATAACTGCATTTTGGGGCAAGAGCACAGATCCACACAACTGCTCACATTCTGACATCAGCAGTCAAGGTGCAGGGCTCTAAGTGAATTAGCAAATGATCGTCATGCAGAATAGACCTGGAAGCAAACCTGCTGTACGTGACTGTTCTCAGTTTTCCCCTCCCTAAACTAACAAAAACAGACTCATTACTAGGTAGAAACAGATAGTAGGAGATGTAATATCAATCTGACTTGGAGCATGGGGTACAGCTTGTCTCAGAAAATTTTTTGGAAATGAGCACATCCTGGCTCAAATAAATCCCCTTCTGACGTTTCTCTTTCCCACATGACTTTACGGAAAAAAGCTCTGGCAAAGGGAAAGGCTGTTCCCCTGATCCCTCCCTCATCCCCTTGGACTGAGGCCCAATTGCCAGTGCCTGATGAGCAGCACATATGCAGCCATTGGTGAACCCTCAGACCTGTTTCCATCTAGAGGGTGCACCTTGCCAGGCCTTCTTGAAACATGTTGAGATTCCTTAGAAAATTCATCAGGACCTCCGATCATGGTGGTCGAGAAACAGTAGGAAAACATGTTTAAAACACACTGAGAGTTGAAACTATTTGGTCACTTATGATATTCAAAAAACTGTTTCCAAGTGGCTTTTAAAAATTCCAAGTAATTCAATGCAATTAAAATGTAATAGTAACAGTTTCAAAGTCCTCTATAAGTATGGGTGTTTCTTCTAGTAATCCCATTATCCAAATTACAAATAGAATTTACGTCACATATGAAAATGAGCAGACTAACTGAATGTTACAGTTGCAAAAACAGTAAACAACTCACCTTATGATTAAAAAGAACAGCATTTAACAATTTTTAAAATTCAGTTTTATTTATAAAATGAAAGCTTGACTATAAGGAAGAATCACCCTAATGATTAGTGACCACTGGAGTGACTTACCAGGACAACTCGTGAAAATGACTTCCTATAGTTCTCCAGCAGGAAAACACTATGAAGCATTAACTCCCTAGGCAAATTAGAGAAAGATCATCCTAGTTAATAAAAAGTCTGAATTATAGCTTACTGTCAAGGTGCAATCTTATTATTTCAAGTATGCACAACTCAAGTCTAAGAACTTTGACTAGATAAAAATAATCAGCCTGTCTAAACATTAGCAATACAGCCTTCTGCTTATCTGTCAGTGACAGCAGGTTCAAACTGGAACCCTGCTAACGTGAAACTTGTTACAAAGACCAGCCTGAAGTTTATCCTTGTTTAGCCAGCATCCTCCTTGTAGAGAGTGATTAGTCTAGTAAGATCATATGAGAAAGCTTAAAATTGCTAAATCATTTAAGGATTACTTTCTTCAGAGTACCTGTTCATATAAAAATAACTGATATACTCATTCCTAGCAAGTTGTTATCAAAATCTCCTCCAACAGGTGGAAGGAATGAAGTTGGTTGCCCTATGTGGAAACATTGTAACTAGCCAGTGATAAAATAGCTTTAAAAACGTCACATGACATCATCAGGCCAGGCTCCTCCTCCAAGTCATTGCAGTTTCTTGCACGTGTGTGAGTGGAATGGATGGAGCCTGGGGCCCGGTTTGCCGTCTAATGAGCTTTGCTGGCTTCAAAACGGAAGCCTTGAGAAGACCACGTGCCTCCTGCCTGTGGTCCACCCTCCTCCCCTCCCTGTAGGCTGTGAGCGTGAGTAAACAGGAAAAGAGGAGCCGTGCGCACGCAGAGCGCTGATGCCCTGGCTAGTAATATTCACAATCTCTTGCCTGGTTCAGGGGCTTGTACATATTTTTATTCATACATCAAACAAGTGTTAATTCTACCTATGGCAGTGAAGCCATCAGAAAATTCTCAAGATGTATTTCATTTTCCCTAAGACAATATAATGACTTTTAAAAGTAAGTTTCATGTAGCGGAGCTTAATATGTCGATAAAGCCAAGATTGTACAGTGAATTAAATGAAAATCTGGGAAATCAGAAATGAAACTGGCATTTTTATTAAGGTAGAATGTATCAAAACAGATGAAGAAATCAAAAAGAAAATTGCTTCTAAGATGGAAAGACAGAGATGAATTCTGAGTGGTGTTTTATTACGTGGGTATTTGTTGAAGTTTTCTGTCTTTATCTAGGCAGTGCAATTCAAGTTCTGAAAGAATGGAATATGACAGGAAAAAAGAAGGTAAGAGTAATACTGACTGTAAAGTGGTACCATCTTCGGTCAGACCCTCGGTCGCCTTTTTAACAAAGATTCCGGTCTATGCTGCTTTTGAATTCATTAGTGTGTACACCCTGAAAGCTTTCTGATTCATGACTCCCCAGAGTCGCCAGCCACGCTCACTGTGAATGTCCTTACTTTCCGTTCCTCATCCTTAACCACAGACATGCTTAGCAAGTCCTAGAGTTGTGTTTCTCACTAAGAGTCAGGGGAACTCAGCTGGAGAATTTAAAGCATTCAAGACATTAGCTTGCCTGAACACACTGCATGGTAAATGGAAAAAATAAAGGAGTGCTTGGTACAGACTTGAGCAGCTCCAGATATATCTTCATTTGTGTTCGCAACAGAAAGAATTTGTCCAGGCTGACCTGAGATGGGTTTTCTGGCTGAATGTAAGGTAGATCTTTAATAAAAGAAGAAAGAAAATGCCTTTCATGCTTTCATGCCATCCCATGAGGCCTGAGGAAAGGAGATTTTCCTCTGCCCCGTGGAGCCTGTGACTTCCGGGCACAGCTGCAATGTGCCTGTGCGCCTGACCACAAGGCCCGCAGTGGCACTTCAAGGCCCTGTTGTGCTTTTCTGGGGAGTGAGACTCTGGCAACCACAACTCCCCAAAGGGGATCACGGTCTGCAGACAGCTTCCACTCACAGAAAGAAGGGTTACTTCCATATAGTCCCAAGGTCACTTGGATTCCTAGAATCATCCTTTCTCTTTTTCTGTCCTCCCAGGCTCATGTAGAATGAGAAGAATTAGGAAATTTTTTTCACCTTTGTATGCCACCATTTTTAAGTCTCTGCTTATCTTTAATCATAGCTTAGGCTTCAGTGCAAGATGAAGATGATTTCCAAGTGATTGAAAGGCAGTATTTTTACATGGAAAAATTTCAGATGTGTGATTTGGGTTTCAAATTTCTCTGGTGAAAAAAGAAAAAGACGGCAGCTGCAGACCGAACTTATTACTGCACCTGCCTCTAGAGCAGTAATGGCAAAGCTCTCAGTACTTGCAATAATACCAAAGCCCACTGTGGCACGCGGGCTGTGGGTTTGCCAGCACTGCCCCAGAGCCTCACGGACAGGACTTCCAGATGCTCCTGCAGCCAGCGATACACTTCTTTAACCAGGCATGATTGCAGCTTCAGGAGAAAAGAAAAGGAGGGGGGAGGAGAGTGGAGAGAAAGAAACTTCTCTGTTGTTTAAGTGTGCGGAAGAACAAAGCCAGCCGATGCTCAGCTGGTCCTACCAGGTCAGGGAGAAGGGGGAGCTTCCTAATGTGCCTGGCCTCTCTGCTCCACAGACTGAAGCCTGCACCCCACGAATTGTATTAGCTGGGTACAAAACCAAAGCTGCAAAAAGTGTGCCACATAATCAGGACCAGCACATTCTTAGCTTCCGGGGTCGTGTTACATATTCACTAGTAGGACATTTCAGGAGAGGAGTCCCAAGGGTGGTGCTCTTTCTAAGTAGTGAAGTGATGCTTATAATGCTGTCTGGCTGCACAACCCCAGTGCAGAAAGCACCAGGTCAGATCAGCATCCTTGTGTCAAGGTCCGCTCTGGCTTGGATACCCGTGGACTCTGAGGATACCCAGGACTCTGGGGCCTGGGGCTGCCAGGGCCTCTTGACCAGTGACAGCCAATCCAGGACGTCCTGGTTGGCGGTACCTGTGTCACACCTGCAATTTAGCCTTCCAGGACCTGCCTTGCTCCTCCTTTCCCACCCTTTTCTGGTCTCCTGCCTCCCCACATGTCAGAGCCTTAGCACCCATCTGGCCTCCCTCACCTATCACCTCTTAAGAAAGGAGCTCACTGGATATGGTGGCACACATCTGTAGTCCCAGCACTTGGGAGGCTGAGGCAGGAGGATTGCTGTGAGTTTGAGGCCTAAACTGCATAGTGAGACCTAGTCTCAAAAAGAAACTATCTGGGGCTCATGATACCAAGACTGAACTCAAGTTCCCTCGGGGCTGTTGTCACAAGGCTTTACTGTGTTACCATTCATACATCAGAGTCCCAAGTAGAAAGAAAATATTTTAATTAATTTGAGTGATTAATAAAAATGTAGGTATTTTTACCTATCCTATTAAAAGCGCTGAAACCAAAAAAGATGATCTTATTTTCAATTCTCTAATTCACCTTACATTTCAAGGCTCTGAAAGGCCAGGGATTTAGCTCAGTGGTTCTGCCACCTGCCTTGCAAGTACAAGGTCCTGAGTTTGATCCCTGGTACAAAAAAAAAAAGAAAAATTCAAGGCTCTGAGCTGAATAATATTATTTTTCTCATCTGCTTCTCATCTTAGAATAATAAAAGAAAAAGAAGCAAATCCAAGCAGCATCAAGGCAACAAGGATGCTAAGGACAAAGCAGAGAGGCCTGAAGTGGGGTCCATGCAGCCACAGCCACCAGTGCAGAACGGCCTGGCCAGCAGCTGTGAGAAGGACAGCTCGTCCACAGACTCGGCTGGCGAGAAGCCCGCTCTGCCCTCTCGGGAGAAGAGGATCTCCATCCTGGAGGAGCCACCCAAGGCGCCCCATGGGTTCACAGGTCAGTCACACAGCAGCTCTGTGGGTCCTGCTGCGTGAGGCCACCAGAAGGCGCTCGGATGGGCCAAAGCGGAGGTCGCAATCCCACACAGTTGTGATCTTTATTAGGGTCAGCAGAAAACAGGGATTCTGGGCTGGGGATGTAGCTCAGGGGCACCACACTTTCCTCACAAGCACAAGGTCCTGAGTTCAATCCCCAGTACCAAAAAAAAAAGAAAAAGCAGGAATTGTAGTTCAGAAAGGTTACTCTTGCTAGACCTGTATTAAATTGGTGACAGAAATGCTCCTGGGCCAGGGATTTGGCTCATTGGTGCCGCCGCCTCCTCACAAGTGCAAGGACCCAAGTTTGATCCTGGGTACCAAAAAAAAAAAGTTCCTGTTTCCTTTTAGAAAGGGTAGACCACATTACTTTAACTCCTGGTGATTTTTATGTGATAGGATAGAACTTACCCAGTGTTAGAATTTGGAATGTCAGTGATTTGTGCTACTGCCATACGTGAATTAATCTCCACGAGCTGCTTCCTCACACTCTGTCCTGTGGTGCCTCATTCATTCTGTAAAACAAGCACAGTCTTAGTCTGCTTTCTGCTACTGCTGTAACAATACCGCAGGAGTGTAAATCACACATAATAGACGTTTACTCGGCTCACTTTGTAGAGCTCAGGAAATCCAGGATGGAGGAGCAGAGAGTCTCAAACCCCTCTAACTTGCCCATCCTGCAGCAAGTGAGCCACTCCTGCCAGCAGCCCAGTCCCTTCCTAAGGGTGGAGCCCCATGACCGGTTACCCCCTAAGGTCCCACTTTCCACTTTCAGCAGGAGTCTGGGGAGCACATTCGAACCGTGGCACACGACTGCACATGTGCCGGATAGATCACTGGGTAGCAACTGCCTGACCTTAACAAACCCAAGATGAAGTCTGCATGGGACAACCTCCCTAGAAACAGAATTGCAGTGGGAATATAAGGGTTACAGGGGTAACGCAAGTGGGCCTTACAAAGTGGCCAGATGTTTGCTCACTTGCAGTGCATGGCATTGCTTTCAGAAGAAGTAAGACAGTATTCGCATGTGACAAGTGAAGAAACCATCAGTGAGCACTTGCGTGTGTGTGTGCATGTGTGGATTCTGGAAATGCAGGGATACAAGTTCAGACTGGTAAGAGCCGGGCCCACTGGTGTGGTTGGCCATGTGCTCTTGCATTTGGGGAAAGACCATTAGTTGTAAACACCATAAAATGCCCCCTTCCTATTTAATTTACAGAACTTGCATCCTGAAAACTTACCTAGTCTAAGGCCATACCACCTTGAACACGCCTGATCCCATCTGAAAACTTACCTAAATCCTGAAAACTCATAGTAAAACTGTGCAGCTCATATAATTTTTTTAAAAAAGAAAAATCTAACAACAGTGCACTTCCAGAAGGACATGAGAATGTATGGGACACATGACAGCCCTTTGTCATGTGAGACAGATGTTCCCGTGACTGAGTCATGCGCAATCATTTTGCTGACGCCCCTTCACCCCTCGGGTTTTCAGCTGTCTCCTGTGTAAGGGGCACATCCTTCAGCGAAAACTTCACACAGCTGACCCTCAGTTTCTCTTGTGGTTGTGACAGCCTGAGTTCCTTGAGTGATTACTGAGACTCCCCTGACATTCGGGGCACAGCAGATTCTGAGGAAGATGTGGTAGCCTGGGCTCTGAGGGACCAACATTCTGGTATTCTTATGGAGAAGGCTGCAGGTACATTGATCAGTGTCTTTCTTACTTCCCTCATCACTGGGACAAAACACCTGACACCCACAACTCAAGGAAGGAGAGGTTTATTTTGGCTCAGTTTGCAGAGGTTTTAGCCCACGGTCTGCTGGCTCCAAGGCGGGTGGCGCGGTGGAGGGGCGCTGGAGGAAGCCGCTCACAGCAGGGAGGACAGGAAGCAGAGAGAAGGGAGGTGCCTTCCGGGCCACACCCCCAGGCCCCGTCTCTTCCTCCCAGGCCCCTCCTGACAGCAGGTCCACTGTGTGGCCCTGTAATCCCAGCATCTTCCAAAGGCCTCGCCCGTGAGCACATGAGACCTTGGGGACATGCAGGTACAAACCATAGCAATGAGTTTCAGGTTGGGGCACACCCAGGGAGAGAGGTGTGTGGAGGTGGTGAATGTTGGGAACGACAGCGGGAGGCCAGGAAGCTGCGAGAAGACCATGACCCAGAAGCCTGCTGGTCACCAGGCAGTGCTGTCTTCCCACAGGTGAAAGGTGCTCGTGATAGGGTCCTGGCTGCAGAGAGCTCAGGCAGAGAAGAGACGGAGCCCACAGGAAAGTGCGTGGGGACCGGTGCTGCTTCCATCAGTGCTCGCTAGAGAAACAGATTTAATATACGATACATAAACAAGTGTTTACATGGCAGGCTCTCAGTGGCCTCCTGCAGAGTCAGGTATGGCAGTGTGCAAAAAAAGGCTGTGTGCGTGCTGCAGATCCGAAGGATCCAGGTGAAGGTTGAAGGCCGGGAGCTTACTCTGATGTGCTGTGTGAGTCCCTATCAGGGGCTGAAGGGAGGATGGACATCCAAGGTGTGGGTGAGAGCTCCTCTGGAGAAGCAGAAATGAGCCTTCAGTTTTTAGCCACAGGCTAGAAGCCTGTTGTCTGGTGGGACTCGCACCCAGGTGAGTCCTCTGTCTTCAGTAAATCCACCCCATCACACCCAGAACGGTGCTGACGCAGGCAGCTGGCATTTCTCATTCAGGCGGGCACAACAGTCGGCGATCACAGGGACCCAGGAGGGAGTGTGAAGCTGTAACACACTGGATGTTCTCACGCTGCTCACAGGCACTGGTTTTCTTACAGAAACATTTCCTAACAGTTCCATTAAAAGTCCTGTAATTCAGATCAACCTTATTTACTACATGACAGTAAACAGTGACAACAAAAGTAACCTATGTCACGTTGAATCCAAATTCTCCAGGAATTTTTTAATTCAACTTTTACTGTGCCTGCGGTGTTGACAATGTTTTGATTTATAGTTGGGGCAGGAAGAAGAAATTAAATAATCAAGTGGCAGATTCCCAACTTGTTATTGCTTTCACATGAATTATTTCAAAATCTAATTACTCAAGTTGCTCTTTTGATATCAATCATAAACTAAAAGCCTAGCACGTATATTTGTCCGTTTACTTATGATTTATGCCTTCTTCGTGAGACAGTTTCGGTGCCTGACCCTGGAGTGAGAGCCATGCAAAAGAAGTGCTGCACTTGTGGGGTGGCAGCTGCCTTGCAGGCTGGTGCCCACTGGGGGAGTTCCCTGCACAGGGCCTTGCTCAGCCCAGCATGAAACCTCGCCAGAGGACATCCAGAGCCAACCACTGTCCCTTGGGTTTATGAGTTAGCATGAAGGTGTTAGTTGCTAACATCGCTGGTTCATTATAGATCTTTATCCTTCCTGGAAACTTTTCTGTTAAAGATTAAATGTTGGCAGTGTAAGGGTATTAGATGCTCTTGGAGAAGGAAGAGAATCCCCTTGGTTGACCATTAACTTCGTAGCAGCCCACGTGTTATGATCATAAATTTTAAAATGAGTTCATAATCAGCTGGGTGTTTTCCCCAAAGATCCTGAAAGTTCATCTGTAAGTTGATGCCAAATCTGTTGAATAACTTAGCTTATTCGACCCACAGGAAGCCCTTAGACCCCACGGCAGAATTCCGGATGAGTGATAGCCGTGGGCACCTTGCGCCCCATGAAGAGTGGGACGCTGGCCCTGGGAGGAGAAGGTCTCCTGGAGTCCTGTGTCTGCACGGAGGCTCGGGGTTGGGAAGCCAAGGAAAGAGCTTCCTTTGTAACTCTATACGGCAAAAGCCAGAACGTGGTTTTTATGTACACAGAGTCGCTACTAAAACCACAGGCTCCCTAACCCCATGGATAACGGAAAAGGCAGTAACCACCCAGCTCTTGTGATGGTGCTCCGTGCTGTGTGGGCTCACTGTGTGTGTGCCAGGAAGGCTCCCGGCTCCAGGCGCTCGAGTCATGAGCCTGGCTGTTTCACACACACGGGCAGGAAGCTGTACGCATGTGGGAAGCGTGCTTTATCTTTTTATAACACTTGACATTCAGGATCTCCCTTTTCAAAAGTCTCAAACAGAATCGTTATTCTGGTAGAGGAGGAGTTTGCTTTAGATAGGTGCAGGTGACGCAGAGGTGTGCGTGTGACTCAAAGTCGCCACCCCCAGAGCTCTCACCTCAGCTCTGACCAGAGCGCTGGTGAGTGGACAGAGCGCGTGTCACAGAGAGCTCGAGCCGGAAGTCTGTCTGGGCCTCAGAGTGGTTTTCTTCTGAGTTTCAGAATTCTTAGTAACAGCTCAAATTAGAACTTTGACACAATCCAGTCAAATCATTCTGTGTTCAAACACTAAGGCAAGGGCCAGGATTTAGCTCAGTGGTTCTGCCGCTTGCCTTGCAAGCACAAGGACCTGAGTTTGATCCCTGGTACCAAAAACAAAAACAAATACTAAGGCAAGGGGTAGATCGGAATGTGTTTTTACTGAATGAAGTGCCACTGACACTGTTTCCCCTGGGGCCCATCTGTGTGTCCTGCACACCTCAGGCCCCCATGTTTTAAACTGTCCCTTGCCGGATTTTGTGATGCTCATGTCGCTGGGAGGAAAGCACAGGCACTGCCTCGGTGTAGGCCAGAGAGGAACTCGGCTCCTCCATCTTCTGCCACAGGTTGGGGCAGAGCAGCTAGGCCTCGGACGTGGAGGCCCAGTGTGCATGCTGAGCTCGCAGACCTCCGCAGGCCAGGGTCGGTCTGCCTGGTGACAGGCCTAGACAGCTCAGCCATCCTTCCCACACAGGGCACGTTCTAGGCCCTACACAGAACTGCTTCCCCCTCCCGAAGTGAAGGGGACCAAAGGCTCTCAGAGAAAGGGTGCTTTAGGGAGAGTGTGGGTTGCTTGTTTCTCCTTTGTGCTTTCTGTAAAACACAGCAGAAGCACGTCCGTGCTCGTCCATGGTGTTCC